ATGTCTCGTTTAGGTTATGACGACAGACAAAGAACTGGATCAATTAATCTCAAGGTCTGCGATCATTCACAAAGTGTTTGGGAAAAAAACAAAAGCATTCTTTCCCCTTAAATTGTGGTTTGCACAGGACAATAATGTACTTCCATTTCTCACACAGGCAACTAATGGATTTAGCAGAATTCATGAATAAAAGATAGCAACATATTCTCCAGCGGTGTCTAGCAACACTGCACTTTAATGCACTTTGTCAACAGCTTTATTTAACTCTCCACTGTTTTTCATTATTGTCTCCATCAATGATAGCATTTGCTGACACCTCCCTTAAAGGATAATCTGTGCAACTGACTCATCTAACAGGTTAAAGAAGCAGAATCTGCACAGAAATATTACTTACTAGCTATTTTATGATGCAAAGTTTTTTCCAGTGAGGTTTCCCACCTACACCGAAGGCTGCAACCATGAGCAAGGCGGAGTTTTTTGGTGCCTCTGTTCCCCACTCTACACTATGAGTGAAATCCCTCAGCTAAGCCTCAGGCCGACTGGTGTCAAGACACGTTTTCTTTTTCCAGCAGGAGTCCAACTACCACTTGTGTTCCCTTCTGAACAACAGGCATCTTGAACTCCCTGGCCATTCTATAGGGTACCACCTTTAACAAGCGCCTGTATATGATAAACGCAGAGCGTCAAGTCCTATGGACTGCTGAAGTCTACAGCACACAACTGGCTCTAATGCTGGTGTACCATCAGAGCCTAATTCTGGATCTACTGAGGCAGAGATCTAAAATAAAATAGAACGGTTAACACCTTGAGGAACTGCACAAGCCAGCAGCTGTCCCATGCCTACATAAACATTTGAAATAACTAGGGATGGTGGAAGTATTTTGAGTGCATCTCATTTAGAGAAATGCCATTTCTCTTGAGTTATCTCGGCTTCCACTTCCCATCACCAAATACAAACTAGATCTATAGATAGAGATGAAATAGTTCTGCAGTTAATACTAGAAACTATTAATGGTAAGCCTGCCATGTGACCAGAGAACATGTCTGTACAAAGGCTCTGCATACGGAAAACCAACATGCAGCTGGAAAATGTCCTCAATGTGCATGCCTTGATGTGTTCAAACAATGACAGATTTTCTTCTTAAAACCATACACAGTTCTTAAGTGTGCAGCTGTTCACAGAAACAAAAAGAAAAAACTCCACCCAGGAGCCAGCGGCTCTTATGCAGCGTTACAGGTAGGTTCCAGGTAGGGTATTCCAGGTACCTGCGTATCAAAAGCTCCACTTCCACAATACAAATTTTTAACATATAAAGAAATCTAACAGGGTAAGTTACAAGACCACTGTTTCTAAAGCATTACCTGATATGTATGTACACACTCGGATGCCAGAAAAGGAACCGAATGAGCTTTATCTACAACACACACGTAACTGCTTTTCCCTGGCATTTGGCAGGTTTTCCAAGCTGGACATATAGCTGTTATTCCAGGTGGTTTTACTGCTGGACAGCCTGCAATAAATGCATAACCCCCTCCCCCATTACGCACTGTAGTTGCACAACGCCGGTTATGAAACGAAACTCAGTCCGTGACTAACAGGTAAAATTATTTTAAAGAAAAATCCCTGCTTCAAAAGGTAAGAAAATCCAACCTGTTTTGAGAGATCTTCCAACAAGTACTTTAGCATACTGAATATCATTTTACCTGTTTCAGGAACAACGAATACTGAGCTAAGTTAACATACTGAAGTGTTTTAAGGTATTAAAATGTACCGTTCACCTCCTCCAGAACTTCAAGGGGACGGATACGAAATGTCCTGTATCTTCACAGCACTTGAATGTTTGTTCGTGTTCAATTTTAGGGTTGTGGGTTTACCAACAACTAACATTTATTTTGTAATTTGCAAACATGAAGGCGTTACCTACAGAAAGAAAAACGCGTGCCCGCTTCAGCGACTGGTACAGATACATTAACCTTGCTTAGCTCTTTATGTGGATACTGGATTCCTAATCGACAGCAAACGTCCGAGGTAACTAACCACTTTAAATCAAAATAACTATACCAACTTA